CATCTTACTGCATTATTGCAGGAGTGCTGGGGCCAGCACAAGCAAGGGGAGTGAAAGCGTGGCTGGGGTTGAGGGGGACAGCGGACCATGGTAGGAGACCATCTCTGACTGAAATGGATTCGCACTTCTGTGAAACCACCCTCTTAAAAATGAACAAGAGGGGGGGTGTAGCAGCCAGTGCTGATTTAGAGAATGGGGAACGGAGCTGGGTGAAGACTCAAAATCTTTGATGTGGTTTAGCTGATAAGGAAAACCTGAGCTGATAGTAGCAGTCTGCTGTACCAGCTCAGGAAAATGCTGCTGTATTTTAATGACACTCTTTATGTGTTTGTCTGCATGACTTGAACAGTTGCTATCTCTGCGCAAGCAAATACAGAGGAGTTTTATTTGAAGTGGCTGGAGAAGTGTTGTGACTAGAGGACAGGATTATTTCCTTTGCTCTGTTTTTGCTTTTAAAAACTTTGCAGCTATGGTGATAGCTTAAAACTTCTTAAATAGCATGTTCCTTAAACAGATGAAAGTGCAGATGTCCTCCCACCGTTGTTTGCAAAAGCTTAAAAACTCATTTATTAGATCTTTAAAGATTTGCAACAAGCTTTGCAAATATTAATATTTGTGAATATTTTTGAAATCTCTACATAATGCTCAGTGTTACAGATGAATACTTGGGTTCCTTTGTGATCTCAAAAAAAAAAAAAAAAGAAAAATCCCCATGGATTTCTGTGATCCTCCATTTTGATTAAAGGTGAGATGCAAGCACAAGTGTGGGTCTATTGTTATTTATTGACTGATCCTAGCAGATGCCAAGCATCAGCCAGGAGGTACGCCCTGTGTTTCGTGTTTATTCTTAACACAGAAAACAACACTACTTTCAAGCTTGGCCACTCACAGCCAGAGTGCTAAAGAATTACATGATTTGACTTCAAATGCAGTGATTGATACATGGGACAAGAACAGGACTTTTCAAGATCAACCCCATGTCCCGTGCTACATGCTTTATGACAGAGTGTTGGTAATGTAGCAAAGGAAATTACAGGTTTTTTCAGCTGTGGGTCAGTCTTAGGGGGTGTAAGCTCCTGTAACAGACATTCACTGGATTACATTAATACATCATTGCTTTACTTGTGGTCAAGAACTGTGGCAGTAGCTGATAAAACTGCGCTCTGGGACTGCTTTGCTCTGAGATTCCCACTTTGGCTGGGATCTAGTTGCCTGCATGTAGTTAGGCGGTGTAGTTTAAAATGCCCCAGTGTGTCTCCGTGCATCTGGCAGGTATGACACCGGCCTTCTGGAACACCTGTGTCCTTCAGCAGCAGCAATTGGAGGTCAGTCACCAGGACCAACTAGGAAGCACAGAGTCTCCTGAGTGTACCTCGAGGGGCACTAGATACCTGCGTTTGCGTAACTGTTTCTAGCCCTTGCTTCAGATATTGATTCAGATGTTGGGTAGATACCCAAATGTAGGTGTCCTAACGTCAGACTGAATCCCATCCTCTGAACAATGTTAGCTCCTTCTCCAGGCACTGGAATCAGGTACAGAAATCATTTTGATCCAACCGGCTGTTTGATGGCATAATGTGTGACAAATGGAAAGCTTCTACTCAGCCTACAAGCTCCTGTGTCAAAGGGGCCTTTGCTGCATCTGGCACAAATCTGTGCTCTTGTTAGAAGACAAATGAGAGTCTCAGGCAGCAAAAAATACATCTCAGCCTCCAAAAAGAGCTATAAATTAGGAACTTTGGTCTTGTCTATGTGGCCAATGGCAGCTGGATATGAATTTGCTTCTGCTAATGTTTTGAGGTGGCTTCAAGCTGTGTAGCTGAGCTAGCACCATGCTGGGCTTAAGTTAATGTATCCTGCTTAGGAGCACAGTCACATTAGGCACAGCTACCCAGCTTCCAGCTGGCTCAGAACAGGAAAGCAGTGAACTCAGAGGCATCTTGGATGACAAAGATACTTCCCAGTTGCTTCTGAAAGTCTTTGGAGAGGAGATATGGTGTCTTTAAACTGTACTGGTGATGAGATCATCCTGGCAACAGGAAGAAATCTAAAGTGACTGAACTGGGAATGGAGTGCAGAGCCTCACAGGAAGACGTGTGCTGTAAACACTGTCAGGACCTGTCAGGAAGTTCTGTTAGAGGGAGAAAGATCCTTGTCATCTGGAGAGCTAAGAGTGCTGTCATTAGGTGTTTATTATTTCAAATCATTGGTTGATTTGGTTTGGACAGGTTAGCAGTCACATCCTAGCTAAAGCAAAGGAAAAAGTCCTCTAGACAGAATGACTCCATCATTAGCCTGAAATCTGGCTGCAGGGAGCCCAGTGTGCCTTCGATTTGCAAAGCTGGTGCAGGTAAAGACATAAAGCTGTGCTTCCTCAGTTTACCTGGTAGAAGCTGGCTGGAAGATAACTCTGCATTGTCTGATGTAACATGATTCTCATGCATAAGGTATGGCATGGAAGAGGACTCCGGTGATGTGACCTGCTGTGGTCCGGAGAGCAAGGCCAACAGATTGTCCAGACCATCTCCTTTTCTATCTCCTTTCTAATGTAATGACCCTCCTCCTAAGCCTGAATAGGATTTAAATCTGCGTTTTAGTGGAGTGAAACATCTTCCTGGAAGCAGAGGAATATTGGGTAACAGTAGAAGGTTGTTACCATTTTAAATGTATCAGTCTGCAAGAGGGTGAGACAGAAAAGAGTTATGCAAGTATTTTACATGAACTGAGCTTTGGCCAACACATGACTGATACTGAGCACGTGTTTTTCAGCCCTGAAGGTGTTGTCTCCAATTCTACCAGAGATGCAGATTGCATGTAGGCTGGTGGAAAGTGATCTTGCCACCCTGTCAGCTTAGTTTTTCATAGGCACCGAGGCAGTTCTTGTTTCTACGATATTTGAATTTGCCTTCAGGAAACCTTGTTAGTGTCAGCAACAGAAAAAATAAAAGTCGTGCCTGTTTTTCCTTCAGCATCAGTGCGTCAAAGAGGAGCTTAATTATGGGGTTTTTTCCAATTAATTTTCTCATGTTTTGAACCATACCTTCTTAAAACTTGAGTAAGTTGAAATAATGGTTAGGAGCCAAAGGAGGGAGCTGAAGGGTCAGATTCAAAGAGCAGGATCCTTGGCCTGGGAGGAACTTTGTCATCTTCTAGAAGATTTCTAGCATTACATGAGCGATTCTGGATGACGCTCTTAGTCATATGGTTTAGTTTTAGGTAGTCCTGCGAGGAGCAGGGAGTTGGACTCGATTATCCTTATGGGTCCCTTCCAACTTGAGATATTCTATGATTCTATGATTCTATGAATTAAGTGGGAAAGTAAATAAGCAAGGCAGTTTGCCAGGGCACTAGCTGAACAGTACAGCATTGCATTTCAGGTAGGCACATCAGTTCAAGTGTGTTTTCCTCCCCTTTAGGTGTCCCCGTGACTTAAGGATAAACAAAGCTCAGTGTGGAATTCAGATCTTGTGGTTTTTGGTTTTTTTTTTTTTTTCTCCTCAAGGCTATTCAGAAAATGGGCCTGTGCATGGGGAAGTTTATTTTAGGGGATTTTATAATAGACTTAAAAATACCTTACATGGTTGAGTTCTGTCCAGAAACAGCACATTACTCCATGTGCTGAAGATACAGGCAGATTTCATCATGAAAATTATTCCAAGAGGGCATGCTTGCTCCCTGGCAAAGTGCTGGAAGATGCTATCTTCATAGAACAATGGAACAGATTAACTACAGCTGCTCGTTGTAGTTTCATCCAAACATTCATTCACTGACAAATGCCTTTGACTGGAATAAAATGTTAAGGGAAATTGTTAGAAAAAATGAAACAAAGGAAGTTCAACCAAAATTAGAAAACTGATGCCATTTGTAGTATTTTACTGTTATGTTTTTATCACAAGGGAGGAAATTTAGGTGGTTAGTTTTCAAAGGTCTCATTCTTCTGAAGGAGGACAACATCCCAAAGTGGGGAAAGATCTGCTTAACCTGAAAAGAAACAAATGCCAAAACTAATACATAAATAAATATCTTTTTTTCAGGGGGTTTTATTCTTTAAGTAGCAAACCTCTGTCAATTTTTAACCAGCTTCAGTATTTATCTGAATAGTGTTTTTCTACTTCTTCCTATCCATCAGGCAAAGAGAGGAGATGCTTCTCTTTTCTCTGAAGCCAGCAGCAGCCCACCAATAAAGAATGTTCCAGTTACTTCAAGGTCAAATTTTGGTCACATCACTAAATTCGCTGATTTAGGTGGGAGCACTTTTGTACTTAATTTTTGTTTACAGGATCAAGAACCTACCAATAATCTCCTCAGCATCCTAGGAAATAGGCACTAAAACATTAAGTTTCACCACATACTTGGGTCACTGCTAAAAAAAACAGGATCTCTGGTTCGTCAGGCTCTCTCAGAACTGAAAGGACACCAGCAGATTCCAGCTCTTTCAGTCTGCATTGGTTCTGCCCTCAATTTGAAAGATAAGGATTGTAGCTTGCAAGGAATGTACCTCAGAGAAAAATCTGCCTGTATGGAAAGGGTTTATTATTTATTCTTACTGACAACTGATTCATTTTTGTATGAAAACCAAACCATTTGAGTAGGAGAGTAGCATAACCTGGCTCATTAAGACCGTGCAGTTTCCTAACAATATAATGTTTTATAACTTTTGAAACTGTGAGAGGATGTGTCTTTGGTAGCTTTGTCACCCTAAAATGCCAAAGTTTTAAAATAGTGTAATAACGAAAATAAGAAATCCTAAGGAAATTGAAGAAAAAAAGGGGGAAAAAAAATAACTTTTTTGCTGAGATTTGTAAGAAACTGTGGACAAATCACAAACTGAAATGAAACCAAGCCTCTACTTCTGTGCCTGGGCAGCATGTTTGGCTTATACATAGGCATCAGCCCTGGGGTTATTATATCATTTTAAAGTCGAGAAAAGTAATTACTGTTTCCTAAACTGATTAACTGTTCCTTAATGTCAGTGCTTAGAGAGTCATGCTGATTTAATCATGTTATCTCTTTACCTCCAGAGGAAGTATGCGCTCCATTACAAGATTGCTCTCATCATAAACTACCTGGGGCACTGTATATCAGTAGGGGCCCTTATAGTTGCCTTTATGCTTTTCTTGTGCTTGAGGTGAGTAATCTGTATGCATGCTTCTAAATTGGTTGGGTGTGTGACACTTACCGGGTTACTAAAGCCCTTTAGTGACACTGTCCAGGTCGTGTATGGTCTTGAAAAATGGTCATGGCTTTTACACTCCCAAGCATGTACATGGTTTCATTGACTGATGCATTGGATGAGCTGTAATGGTGGCTTCCGTGCATAGGACCTAAAGCCTGTTTGTATTCAGGAAGAGAACTGTACATGATTTATTGATGCAGCAAAGAAGTCAGTGAGCACAGAGGGCTTCATTAAGGGAACCTGGGATTTGAGTGTGTCGAGCGGCAAGTTTTGGGGGCAAGTTTTCTTTTTTATAAGGCAGTGCATGATAACATAAGGCATTTTGTGCATTCCCAGATCTAGACAAGGCAGTGCATGATAACATAAGGCATTTTGTGCATTCCCTGACAGATAATGCCCAGATCTAGACCAAAGGAGATAGAATGAAATCTTCCCATTTGCTTTGGGTTAATTTAAATTTTTCTTCCATTAAAGAACTTAGAAGTTTTCTTAAATCACAAGAGAAACATCTTTAGAGGAGCTTTATCCGCACCAGTGCTCATCAAATGATGAATGCAAATCAGTGAAACTGCATATAAACACTTCCTTTTCCTGGTTCAGTGGTACAGAAGGGAGTTTGTCAGGTAAAATGGATATGTCCGTGAAAGAAGGTCTGTGAAGAAGAGTTAGGGCTACAGGGAGAAGAGAAAGGGCAGGAGGGAAGGAAACTTAGTGGAAAGTAATAGGTAGATGTGCATCAGTCATCATATGCATTGTGTGTACACAGCCTGAGTCACAGGAGTATATTTTAATAGGAGTGACCTGGTTGGATATTTCTGTATTATTTGTTGGATTACCTGACTGGTATTTCCGTACTATTTGTGCTGTCTTGTCTAGGAGCATTCAGCTTGAACTTAGAACCAACTGTACTAAGTGCTATGCAATGATAAACCTTGAGAAAAAATCTTATACTAGTAGCAGAGGAGAAACAGGAGGAGGACACCCCCCCCACCCCACCCCCACCCCCCAGTTACAACTTGATGATTGACAGTGACCTACGTGAAAGAATTACTGCGTTCGTAGAGTGGAGCATCCCTATGAAGTCTTATGCTAAGTTTTCCTCTTGAGAGTTCCTAACAAGAGTGTCTTTCTTATTAACAACAGGAATCTTCTTTCACCCCAGCATCTATAAACAGAATAATCTATGCTAATGGGAAGAAAAAAAAGCTTAAAACATTCAGTGGGAACATTTATGGTGCATCAGTTTAAACTTCCATTTCAACCTTTTTACTGCGTGTATAATGCTAATTCCCATAGTGCTTGGAGACCTGAATAAATTTACACTGAATAAAGAATGCAAATTATTCATTGTAACTATATTCCCTGCTCCGATGCTGAGTCTTTTCTAAATGCCTGAATAAATAACACAAAAACAATTAGATAATATGGTATAAATGTATCCAGCTTCTAACACAGAAGTGGCCTAGCTGATCTCTTTTAAATTGTTCTTCTGGTATTTAAACTTTGACTTTAAGATTAAATCTTGCAGTCAGCTTCAGCATTAAAAATGACTGCAGCAATTAAATACTTCCCTGTACATGCTGTGAATTAAGATAGTCCATCTTTTCAAATTCCCACTGTATCATGCAAAAAAAATCTAGTGTCCAGCCAGCGTTAACCAGCATGAGCTACCTCAGTGTCTGTAGACACTGTTTTCAAAAGTTCTAAAGATGCTCCAGTGAAGGCAGTCCAGGTTCATGTTGCATTACAGATTTGGCTACACAAATTCTAGGTTATGGAGATCTTCATCACACTTACCTCTTCAAAGTGTCCCAAGAGCAAATCAGTTTTGATAATTGACTCCTATTATTTGGGGCTTTTTTCCCTGTTTTAGTTTGGATGGAAGAAGGCGTCTACTAATTGGGTGAAAGGAGAGGATTTAGATAATTTCTGGCTAAAAAAAACCAATAGAAGACCCTGAAGGCTGGATCTGATAGTCCCACATCTTGGCGCAAAATAGAAATCTATCAGTTCCTTATTCCTGCCCCACTCCACCCATCTACCTCACTCCCTGAGTGCCTGCTGAGAGTGAAGATAGAGGAGACCTCCAGGAAGGCTCAAGTTCTACAACTGCTCCATATTTTTACGCTTCTCACCCATCACCTGCTTGATTTTCCTTTGCTCTGTCAGTGCAGATGGAGTCCCAAAGGTAGTCCTGTTTGAAGGAAGAGACTGGAGCACACTTGCTGTATTGGAACATAACTCCTAGGAAGGCTGTGGGATCTCTCACACTGGAGGCTTTAAGAGCAGGTTAAATATCTGGTTGGCATGGCAAAGAGTATTGCTTAGGTGCTCAACTAGTGGGATGGGTGTTCTGCTTTTGGAGATGAGCTTCACCATTCCTGTTGCTGCCCCAGCCCAGGTAGCTGCTGCATTGATGGGAAGCTTAGTCCTCAGTTGTGCTGAAGTGGGAAGGGGAGAGAACTGGATCTAGTGTCTATTCTTCCAAATCTATCCTATGTCATCTTGTCCCCAGTTCTTGTCTTTCTCAGTTCCTTATGCAACCCTCTGTCCTCCATTCACAACCCACCCTCCGTGCCAGTATAAATGTTCTACTGTCCTAAACTCTAAGGAACCATACACCAAAAGATATTTTAAGGGTCGGAAAGCTCAGATATAGCAGTAAGTAATGAAACCATCTGCCATCTGTGCTTGTGTTGCCAGAAGACACCAACACAACTGAGGAGGAAGGAGAACTCAGCCAGGAGCTCCCTTTTACCGCAAAGACCTATTCCAGCCTTGTTTTCTCCAGTTCTGTCACATATGAACCAATCCTTCTTTCTTGGCTGTGCAATGAAAAATAAACCAGTAAACATTTCATTTAGCACCTGAATAATAAAAAGTAAAGCCCAACTTATGGGAGAGGACTTGATTTTTGTTGGCATGCTGACCGAATGGCAATGAGTCATTGAGATAGCTCCTAAAGATCTAAGTCAAGGATGGTTTCCCAAGGTCTAAATGTAGGTGGTCTTAAAAGTGTGAGAGCCATGCTGTCTTTACAATGCAAAACAAAATAAGCACACAAACGAAATATGCTGAGAAGGAAAAATGAGGAATTTGAGCATAAACCAAATGTGCTGTAGAGCTGCATTGATCTCCAGCGCAGGATCTGGAGAGATTTGCTCAGGGCACTTCACAGGGCATTGTTAAATGTATCTGCACTGCTGCGAATCTCATAGTCTGTGTGTTCTCATTAATAGTAAAGGTTTGATCCATCCCTCAGGTGCACACAGACAATTCCCGCTGACACGGCTCTCATCGTCCCACATAATCGCATTCTCACACTAGTAAAGCAGAAATTTTCCACAGGAGAAATCCTGCTATCAGTAATATGAAACAAGGTGAAGGGGGGGGAGGGGGGAAGCAAAAGGATTGAAACACTTTTTCTTTTGTTCTTTTGAATCATATTTTTCCTTTACTGTTGCTGATAATGCAGAAACCCAAATTGCTTTGTCCTGTTTTTTTCCTTGTTAGTGTGCTGTTATACCAGCCTCTGAGGTGGAATAAGAGCCCTTTGTAAAACTCCTGACTTGTTATTAAACAGTGTGCTGGCAATGGACAGCAGTGACCTGACTGGATTCAATCCAAAGTTGTTTTATTTGCGCAGTAGTATGGGAAGACGTGTATTTGTTCTGGGAAGCATCTAAGTCCCTGCTGAGTTTTGAATCAAATAAAGAAGGATGGTGCTGAAAGGAAGATAGGCTGAATATGAAAAATGACATGTCCTTCTGCACAGGTTGCTGGATTAAGGCAGCTCTAAAAAAAGCCAAACCCACAAACATTGGCATAACACCTTTTTTCACTAGTATGGTGGTAACGAAAGCAAATTGACCTTTGCTTTCCTGTTGCCCCTAAATTTACCGCTTTCTATTTCCCCTTTAAAACATCTGATTTTTTTTTTTTCTCATAGGCCTGAGGCAGTGTCCCCTTTCTTTCTCACCGCCTTTACTCACCCCCCTCTCATCTCATATCTGTATGACTTGTTCTTTAGAGTCTTTGTATAGAGCCTACCTAGCGCAAAAACCAGGAGAGAGCAAAGCCCTCCTGAAGTCCTGGAATAACGCCAGTAATTAAAAGTGTGCCCAGAGAGATATGTTCTTAAAATGTGGCAAGTTTCATAAGGTGCTTCTGAAATAGTGGTATTGTAGCCTAGAAATAGGAAGGCTGGCAAGGAGTATTATTGCTGCCTATAAATACATCACTGTTGGATAAACATTAGAAACTGAAGAGATACTTACGATCAAGGACAATGTCAGTGCAAGAAGAAATGGATATGGGCACTCTACAGATAGATTTGTGAGTGGGTGTTAGAGGATGATTTCCAACCCACAGAGCAGAGGGGTCCAGGAGAAATGTAATGGAGGAAAAAATTAATTTGGACTTAAACTAGAGTTTCAGGAATTTACGAAGGACTTCTACTCAATGACTTTCTCGACCTGGGGTTTGGAGGATCAGGAGGCCACTTCCTATGCTGTGCTTGAAATATGTTCCTAGTGGTATGTTTCTCTCATTGCCAAGATTTTAGCTGTGAGGCAGTGTTTTTGGAGATGGACAACTATCTTGTTTAAATTCTGGTAATAGAACTGCTCTGTGCAAGATTAGATCTATGTTGACTGACTATCTAAAACTTGTCTGTGCTCTGTTTTCCTTTTGATGATGATGGAAAAGTTTTGGGAACAGTGGAGCAAGCCTTGCAACTTTTCCAAGGTTTCAGAGGACGGAAGAAAGTAAAGTTTGGTCTTTACAGTTTAGATATGAATCATGCTCAGGGGTGCAATTTACTTCAAAAAAGAACATGTCCTGAGTCATCTCTGGGAAGGAGAATCAGATGTTTTCAAGCCTAGAAGTTTAGTTACCCACTACAAATGCACCTGCAGGTGTTCAAGTACTAATGGTTCAATTTCAGTTTTCAT